GGGGCTGGCGGGGTTCCTTCCCGGTATTCCCTGGACTCTACGAGCCAGCCGGATTATCTCGCTGGAGGAACTGTGAGTGAGGGGTATAGCCATACCCAAACAACACTTGGAAGCATGAATCAAACCCAGCCTTACCTGGATGTACATGCATCACATTTGCCATCCGCACAGCCATACTCATCACATAGCACGTCAGCTTCCGGTATTCAGCCTTACCAGTATTCCCAACCTCCAGTCCTGCAGCCTGGGTCGTCATATAGCTCAAGTGGCGCCTCGTCGTACCCTTCTTATGGGTATCCCAATGGCGTTACCTCTCCACAATCTGCAACTCAAGCGGTTACAAATACCATGTCCTCCCATGTACCCGCTCAAATTCTTCCCTTACCTGGTAAGTTTTCCAATTATTTGTTTGTTACTATCTTTTTTAGCTTGGTCATTCCTCTGGGAGAGAAAGAAACCTTACTTGGTCTGGAACTACGCTAATCATATCTGGTTCAGCAATGACCGCAACAACTCCAAGCCCCCATACATATATGCCAAGCCATGTCAGCCACGCCCAACCATATGTTCCACATACATTTGATACCACTGGTCAAATACCACCACCTGGTGCGAAGCCGAGGGTTACGGCTACGTTGTGGGAAGATGAAGGAAGCCTGTGTTTTCAGGTGGAAGCTAAGGGTGTTTGTGTTGCGCGCCGGGAAGGTTCATACATCCTTATATCATTTACCAACCAATTTATCCTTTTTTTAGCTGACTATTTATTTCATAGATAACCACATGATCAACGGAACAAAGTTGCTCAATGTTGCTGGCATGACAAGAGGACGACGGGACGGTATTCTGAAGAGCGAAAAAGTGCGCAATGTCGTCAAAATAGGGCCGATGCATCTCAAAGGCGTTTGGTACATATATATACATTTCACTTCATGGGCGTTGATATGTCAGAAGATTCCTCGCTAACTTGGTGATTAGGATCCCATTTGAACGGGCACTTGAATTCGCCAACAAGGAAAAGATCACAGAAGAACTTTATCCATTGTTTGTGCATGATATCGGAGCCCTACTATACCATCCCACCAACCCATCTAATAATAGAAGCGGCGCTCTTGCAGCGAGGAACGATCAGAGGCGCTTTGAAGCAAGTCAGGCTTCTCGATCGTCACAAGCTGGACAACCCCCACCTCTGCATCACCATCATTCAATGCATAACCCTGTTAACTTCACACAAGAGCGTAGATCCCAACCTCCTCAGTTCCATGGGCTCCCATTCTGGGCATCCTCGCCCTGGGTTAGATCGTTCACACACATTCCCCACACCCCCGACCAGCGCATCCGGTCTGATGGGCATCGGAAGCCAAGGTGGATCTTATGAATGGTCTGGCCAAAATATGGGGACTGGCGTTCAGGGCTCACAGGCTCTTTCGATCGACACGGGTTTAACAAGTGCCAGGTCGATGCCGACAACACCCGCCACCACACCCCCCGGAACCAGCCTGCAGAACATGCAGTCATATCAAAGCCAACCAAGCTATGACAGTTCGAAGTCATACTATTCCGCAGCCCCTACATCTCAAGCGCAATATGCGCCACATAATACCATAACCCAACAGAGTAATACGTCGAGGTATGGACAGACAATATCCACGAACCCTTATATCAAAAATACAATGGGACCTCCGTCAGGGCGGACGGGAGTGCCAACTACACCAAACTCCAGTGAAACCAAGGCTGACCAATATTCTCACAGCCAGGGAAACGGACAAGTGAGCCATGGACCGGGTGAGGGAGAGGCAGATCATGATAATGAACCCGAGTATATCAACGACACAAATGCTTCTTACAGTGCCAACCGTGGCTCATATGCGTACACCATCAGCACCGGCGCAGGTAATCTCAATGGAGAGCACTCTCACCTTTCCTCCGAGATAACTGATTCTTCCTCCCATCCAAACGGCTCTGATAGCAGGGTCACTCCTCGGACCAGTAGCCAATCGCAGTGGAAATCAGTATACCCTACCCCATCACGACCTGCAGCTCCTTCCAGCAATCTCTACAGTGTGATGAGCGATACTCGTGGTACCGCCACTAATGGAACGGCAGGGGACTCTTATTCCATCTCTTCAAATGGTCCATCAGCTTACTCGTCAATGAATGGCTCTGGGAAACGTATGCGCGACGATGACAATCAAGATCAAACCTCTCTGCCCGATACCCAGAATGGCGACAGCACCTACGAGCATAAACGCCGGAAAACGCTGGTTGACGGTGTTGGAGGCCCTGTCGGTGGCACACCACTTGGTATGCCGAAAGCGACTCCGGTCTCCCGCCGTCGATAGTCTCCGTTCTCTTTCTCTTTAGAAGCCATTATACGACTGATAACGTTCCCATGAGACATTGGTGAAAATAGAAGGTCTCTCTTTTCCTTTCCTTTGGGATGAGGATGTCATCAGCACCGTGGAGTCGACCAACCAGCCGAAAATCTGGTTTTGTGGGTTTGAACGAGTTTTCGTTCTCATACAGTTTCTTCTTACTCAATGAACTTTCATTACTATGCAGATATCTAATCTGTCTTTTTTCCTTCATTCCTTCCTACCTTTTATTTTATTCCATTTTTTTATTTAAACTTCATCTTTTGAACCAGACAAAGAGCCGCCATGATTCTCCTTTATTTTATTTTTTTCCCCTCTAATTTTTTGTACGAGTTTTCAAAACGCTTTATACCTGATTGTAATGATTTGCTTACTATCACGAGATGCGTTTAGAAAAGAAGATTACGACACTCTACGCAGCGAATCAATTTTGTTTTGTGTCCCTCCTTTTTCCGGTTTTAACTGCTTTTGTCGGTTGTGTTATTTTACGTGGGAAATGTCTACGCCAATCTTATCCGCCCGATTAGCACGATCCATCGAGAGGAGTTTCACAATATTCTCTCACCAGATACGGAGATGGATACAGCTATCTACCTTGGGTTGTGTATTGTTTTCATCGAAATGCGGTCGTCCTACACTCCTTCACTTTTACCCTTGCCATTTCTGCACATGGCCTTCTTTTATTATCTTTTCTTCACCCTGCTTAATGCTCTCGGCTTACAGTTGTTTCCCCATCCTCAACTCTCTCCTCCGTACTCTACCTTTCCCGTCGTGACTTGGCAGGATAAAATTGTGTGATACATCTTC